ACATCGATATTGACTGATTGCAATGACTATTAATAACTTTTGAATAATATGGTACAGTTCTTGTGTACCAAATTACTTTTGTTTTTTTGACACTCTATGTAGTATATGAAACAGAAGTTCATTTATATTCTTCTAATAACAACATACACATCTATCAAAGAAAATTAAAAAGACTACGGATCACGCGAGCTTTGTTTTGGTATATTAATATAATATATTATAGCTAGTAATAGAACTAATATCAATGAATAAGACAATCTGTCAAAAGTATGAAATTTAGTTTTGAAGAGTAGTGTTTATTCTATGATAAATATAACTTAGCAAGTATATCTATGTGCATCTCTATCTAATTAAAAAAAAACTAGCACATCTCTTTGCAAATTTCTAACAAGATGTTTAAAAGTAGTATTAAAAATCTCTACAATTCTATAAAAATACATGTTATATGATGCTTCTTATTGCAATCTATTCTGATATATTTCTCAGAAGGGAATTGACTATCGAAGAACTCTTTTCTATTCGATTTTCCATAGGCTTGAAGAAATAACGAAAATTGTGATGAGAAATTTCATCAATAAAAGATCTTCAAAATATAATCATACTTATCTTTTTTTGTGTGTTTTATATGTGTTCATGAAACGGCGACCAAGATTTTAGGGTAAAAGAATGTTTTTCCACGTAAATTCCCAACTAGGTACTGATTCAATCAACTTTGATTGTATGAACTGCAAACAAGATATACGAAAATCATGTCACATCTTCTTCGTTCTTGTACTTGGAATCGCGATAAAAATAAGTTGATTTATATGTTAAATCAACTGTTATTTTAACATGTTTAGAAAATTAAAGCGTTAAAAACATTGCTCAACGTTTATCCTTTTGAAATGCACAAAGTAAAGTATTGTGGTATCGACCAACACAATTTGTTGGCATGGAGTGAATAGTGCAGATTTCAAGCATATATTTATCATGATTGAATGCCTATCAATATTCTTAAATACTTTCATCTGTTATTCTAGAGTGACAGACAAGTATAAACTTGATAAGTATATGTTTTTGTAGTTCAGACAAATCTAAATAAAGAAAAGCAGTGAAAGAATTTGCTTGTTTTTCCAATGTGCCATAAATAGACGTTTCAAAAATATGTTATTTTAATGAATAATTAATATTTGTTTTTTTTATAAGAGTTTATTTGACTTGCTTGTAGTTTCAATTTAGTTTTCGGGGATTTTTTTTCGGCGAAATATTGATTCAATAATAATAGTGCTATCTTGAAAATCAAGTATTTTATCCAAACTCAAATGGGTTTCGATCAATTGTTTGAAATACTGTTTTCTACTTTTTACGTCAGTTCTATTAATAGAAAGTTATTTAAATAATTCAATACAACTTGTATCGACAAATATTAGAGAAATAGATCGATTGAAGAACGTACGTGTATTCTACGTGACTGATCGCTTTGACTTAGAATTGCTATTGAGATAACTAGACTAAAATTCGTTTATTTTGCTTACTTCGATTACGAAGGTTTAGTCGATTGATCAGTGACCATAGTGATTATTTAGTCGCTTAAAATAAGAGCAGACAAACTCCATAATCACTGCACACTAAACAGAATCATAGGTTAACTAGGTTAAATTTGATAGTTTTGTTTACACTGTTGTATTTCTGTAAAAACCTTATAAGTTTCTTATTTTGATATAGTTAGATCAAATATTAATTACTCCGCTCAATCACACGATTTTTATTTTCTCTAAATTCTATTTTGTTTAAAAACTTGATCATTTTTTAAATTTACTGAAAATAGATTTTTTACTCAGAGCAGTTTAAAAATTCGATATTTCATTTGTTTGCTGCGGTAACGATAATTCACATGAGCACGGAAATTTTCTTATTTTTATACAAGTAAATAGAAAAGCTGTTTTTTTTCTATCGAACTATATATTTTTAGTGACACTTAGTATTTATCATTACTGAAAAAACTGATGATTTTCCAAGAAGTTTTTATATAAACATTTTGTTTTTCGTTTTCTCTAGAAAATTTTAATGACTTAAAATATTGGATATTGTCTCATTAATAAATGATTTGTTAAAAAATTGTATCTCTATTGATTTATGTAATATTCGTCTGACTGACATCAAATATTCTTGAGAAGCTTTTTTGAAAAGCAAAAGAACCTGTGTTTTTATCTTACGCATCGCACGGATTAAATTTTAGCAATAAAATTCATTTATCTTCTCAAATTCACATCATCACTCTTTGATACCTTGTTCGCATTCAAGATAAATAAATTTTTACTATATAAAATAATTTTATGTCAGTTCAATATATAGCTGACAACGTTTGAATGTACTGCTTGTCGAATACTATCAAATTTTTGAGAAGATAGAAATTTAAAAATAAATGAAACCAATCTGTCTCAATAGAATTTTTAGTGATTTATCAAAGCAAGATCAAATCAATATTGTTCGAGATTTTTAAGAAAATACATTAAATTAAATAAAATTAGAAAAATATTTCAGTTTAGAGACTTTTCTTATGTCATACTATAATTGCAATTGATGAATTCATCGAATCGATCAAATTTTAAGATAATTTCAAGTTTGTTATTTCCTTTTATTTATTGATTTTTGCATCATAACAATATATGTTGCTTTTCAAGAATAGTTTTCCAATCGAATGGTACACTAAGATCACATGTGCGCACTTGTTCACTAATATCTGAACCTAATGGTGATCGACCTTCAGGAATGAGAATCTCAGGCATTCTTTCAAATACATTCAAATTTCGTTTATATCGTTCCATACCATTCCTGTGAAAATAATAAATAAATCTGACGTATAAAAACAAAAAAATTATAATTCTTACCAAGCAATCATTACACCGTTATCAGTACAAAATTCTACTGGTGGACAAACAAGTTCAATTCCATAATGAGTACATAGTTCATTTATTCGTTGTCGAAGATATAAATTACTTGCAACACCACCAGCTAGAACCTAAAATAGATATATTAAAATAAATTTCTAATCTGTTGACATACTAGTCTTCGTTTCCATTGTGGTTTTTGAATAGTATCACAAAATAATATCGCTCGATGTACACGTGTTTCTATATGTCTGACAATACTTGCTTGAATACATGCTGCAAAATCTTTTAGTTTTTGTTCATCTACATTTGATGATCCTGTAGTGTATAATAATATCAATATTATTAGTGTTTTAAATAAGAGATGAAAGTGTACATACCACAATAAATACTTTCTTTTCCAATGACTCGTCGAATTTGTGATAACATACCACCAAAACTAAATGAACAATCTTTCATTTTAGCTGAATATTTCGATGTTATTAATTGATATCGTTTTTCATCGCCTTCACGTGCTAAATGTCCAATAGCTGCTCCTCCAGCCATATCTTGAACAAGTGGATGTTCGTGTAATTTCATTTCGCGTGCACTCTATATTTAATATACAAAATATTTAAACATTCAAGTATGATTTAAAAAAAAAAGTGTTTTAATAACTTTATCAAATGCTTCACCAGGTGCAATATCTTTCGTTTCACCAAGTCGATAAAACTTGTCAACATCTTCGACAATACCTAAAATACAATGACCTCCACTTGCCAGTAAAACCATATATGGAAATGGTACACTGTAAATGAAAGAAATATATATCCATTCATTGAAAAAGAAAAAAAAAACATCATACTCATGTGTCAAACGAACAGTAAGTGCATGTGCTTCCATATGATGGATGGGAATAAATGATAGATGTGTATACTTTTGAAGAAGTTGTCGAGTAAAATTTATTCCTTGCCAAAGTGAAATAACAAGACCGGGTTTAACAGTTGTAGCAATAGCAGATATTGTCTAGACTAAATAAGAATTCTATGAAATATGTCAATAGAATGGATTTCAAAATTAAATAAACATAGTTCCTTCGTTTTACAATGAATTTAACTCTTTAATTATTATTGCTCAACTAACTGACGAAATTTTTTTGAGATTTCATATTTTATATGAGCAGTGTGTATCATTGATATTATTATCAAAACTCTTTAGAAAAATCTTTAAAATCATTTTCAATTTATGCTCGTACTTTCCTAAGAGATGAAGAAGCATTTTGATCATTTCCGTGGAGAAGTACAGATATGGGTCAAAAGTTCATCTGATAGCTGTCGTCAAACCAAGCTTTGGAATAATACCAAAAGCCACTCTTAACCTGATTCCAACATAAACAATAGAAATAGTTTAGGAATCACAAAAGGACATAATTCGCCTATTTACTTTTTTTACACAAGAGATAGTGTTCCAAAAACTTGTCAGGCTAACTACCTGAATGACCTCATTAGAGTAATAATACTTATATGGGTATATGCATTGAAGTCTCGTCGAGACTATTTCGCATTCGTGGATTGTTCAAGAATTAAGAAGCTTGAAAAAAAAAATCGTACATTCTAATGTATAGTGGTACTCAGAGGATTAAAAGTATGTTTATTTTTGTTTTGAAATCGATTTTACATATTAATTCGACTCACATTCCATTCAATATCTTTCATAACTTCAGCTACAACTGGTACTAAATTTTCATAATGATGATTTTTTGCAATACTTGGTACAATACCACCCCATGGTTGATGATATTTCAATTGATTTCGACATGCTTGACTTAGAATAGTTCGTTGACTATCAACAACAGCTGCTGCTGTATCATCACAACTCGTTTCAATACCCAATATTCTCAATGAATGATAAAATCGATTAATTGATAAATTTCGAATCATTTCTTTAACTAAAAACAAATAATTAATTAAATCATCGAAATTTTTCTGGAATATAATCAGTCAGATTTTTATTATTTTCATTTCTCTATTTTGAGACAATCAAAAAATTAAATAAGCACAATATGAACGTACAACAAAAGGATATGAGATCAATAAATCAAGCACATTCACATTAGGATTAAAAACAAAAAAAAGATGTTTTGTTCATTCTTTAAGCCAAGCCAAGATCTTCCAGAACACTACGTTTTTCTTCAAGTTCTTCCTAAAATATTCAAAAAAAAAAAAAAAAAACCAAAACAAAAGAGAATCAATTAGAATTGTTAAGCTAAGAACTAATTCCATGTCAAGAAAGCTTATTCACACACAAATACATCTATGTACATCAAAAGCATAAAATGATGTCCTTGTCATGCACATTGTGTTCTTTTTTATTTCATGTATAAGTGTGTATGTGAAATACAAAAAAAAAATTGAAATTAAATTAACACAGAGAAATGCAACTGGTATTGGAGACGACAATTAAAAGAAGAACAAAAGCGGTTTCTTTTGCAAATATTTAATCTGACTAAATAAAATAAACGCAAAAAATCAATTAATAATATAACTATGATGGCAAAGAAGCAGCAGAAAAAAAAAGTAAAAACACATGCAAAAGTGTGTATGGGTGTTATATAGTATATATATATATCATTATAATAGCAGAATTCATTATCCAAGACCATGATCTTCGAAGAAGCCCTGTGGCGTTTCTTCCTAGAAATAGATAGACACAGAGGAAAAACTGTAAAGCGTAAAGATATGCGTATGATTTCATTGTTCTTATCAATCATTATATAAAGAAGAAGAAGAAGAAGAAGAATTAAAACGAAAAAAAAAAATCGCCCTCTAATAATTTATTATCGAAAATAAAGAAATAATAATCATTATATAACAATGAAAAACAGAATAATCAAAGCAATCCGTATTCATAAAGTATTTCTTGTAGTTGATCATCCTGTGAATTATATGTAGCAAATGTGTGTTTTAATTTATTGTGTATGTATGAAATTATTTCTTATCTATTTTTGTGCTACTATATTTTATATGTAGATGTGTGTGAATATGCTTTTCACTTAAAAATTCAACGAATTTCTAAAAAAATAAAAACATAACTTACCTCTTGAATAACATCTTGATCATTAATAGCTTTGAGTACACTTTTTTTACTTGTTTCTTGTATTTCACCACCCAATATAAATTCATCAAATATGAAATAAGCTTTTTCAAAATTGAATATAATATCAAGTTCACAGACCTATTTATTTCACATGGTTTTATATATATATATATATACGAAATGAAATTAGATTTACTTACACTGCCAAAATATTTATCAAGTAATTCAACATAACGATGAATTGTTTCAAGTGTTAATAATTCATTATCTTCTTGTTCAATGGCACAACAAAAATAAAGGCTAGCATAGCTTTGTAAAACAAAAGAAAAGTCACTAACATGTTATTTATTTGAAAATCAAAACAAAGTCTTACATACCGTTTATAAACTACTTTCAGATCTTTCCATTCAAGAAAACTTGACATTTTTGGTTTACGTGAAAGAACTGTTGCGACTAATTCACGTGTTATTTTTTTCTTTGATTTTTCCGTTTGTGATGTATACCATTTTTGAAGACGAAGTTTACCTTGTCGACTGAATAACAAAATAAATTGAATCTAAATAAAAAACAAGTATTATTTTATATCTTGCAAACTCGATGTTAAGAATTTGTAAAGATTTTTATTATTGCATCAAAATACATACAATAGACATCGACATAATTCCGAAGTAAAAAGATACAAGTGCAATCCTTGTCAGATTAAACTGTAGTACAAAATGTAGCTACTCTCAGTAATCATAAAAAGATTTAATCCTTTAGAAATACCATAAGGAAATAGTTCATTTATTATAACAAAATGTTATTGATATACAGTACAGTTTGTCATCGTATATCAATGTCTGTCATAGTCTATCATGTGGAGAAGGGTGGATACAGTGTGCATCTACTGGAACATTTTGCTAAAGATGGCAATTGTGCTTGTTCCAAAATTTAATTATAGGGAAATATACTTCGAAATATAGTCTATTTAATCATATGAATAACTGTGTTATAGCCCTTGAAGAAAATTAATAATTAGCTGCCCAAAACTTAGCCTGAAAATTGTCATACAAAATAAATAGATTTTCTGAATCTACAAGTCAAGCTTCATGCAATGATCAAAAATATTTTTTAATTTGCACGTTTAACTTATGAGAAAAAAAGAGATCAATTCTGTTTTCTAATGTTGTGCAAACCAATAGTCCTGTAAAATGAGCAACCAATCCTTATCCAGCTTCCAATTTTTGCCAGAATGTTCTTCTCTTTGTCAACTCTAATTACTGTTAACAGAAACATTTTTGGACTGCAAAGTGTATTTCCAAAAAACCTATGTTCTTCAGATACTTTTTAATTTTTCTGGCTCTAAAAAAATATTTAATAGGAAAAAGAAGGATATATTCAAAATTAGCGCATTAAACTGCACCCATCGTCAGAAAAATTTTTTTCTTAAAAATAGTTTTTTTGCGTCATATACAATAGTTTCTGAGCAAGAGAGTCACATAACCGCTTGTCATGCGGAGAATGCACACTATGGAAGAAGAAGCCCAAATTTTGTCCTTACACTCCAACACTCCTTTTTAGATCGTTTTTCACAATAAAAGTTTTTCATTTTTTCGTTAATTCAAAATAAGATCGTATGTTGTCATTCAAAGAATAAAAAAATGAATATAAAAACCTACCATATTAATTAATACCAACGACCAACAAAAAAAAAATGATCTAAAACAAACATAAAAAGGACAAAAAAAAAATCAAGAAAAGTTTTTAACGTTTTTCTTGATTTTTATATGAATAAAAACATACGAAGGTGGATATTTTCCTTAAATCAAAAAGAAAAAAAAAACGGTAAGCACACACAATAACCGGACATTTCAGGTTGTCCTCAACTGTTCCAATTATTGTTTTTTCTTCTTCACAAATTGTTTATATATCTGACAAAAAAAGAACAAAATTCTGAGATAGAATTCGTTTCTTTTTTTTTTTTGTTGTTATATCATTCTGAGTTTGCTTTTTTTTTTTCCAAAATATACATGACATCAACATATAACAGAATGTTGATGATAGACAAAAAAGAAACGAAAATGAACTGGTGCAAACACAAGCTCTATCACTAAATATGAAGCGAGAACAAAAAAAAAAAAAGAAATGATTTGCATAAAAAACGAAAACACTGAAAAGAACATATGTGAATGATGATACTGTTACAAATATAAAATAAGTTCGATACTTGAAAGATAAATGAGCAAAAAACAAAAATATGATTCTAAACGGCTGTCATCAATGTCGATCGAAGGTTTGAATTATTATTGTTTACGGTTGAATTTTTATTTGATGATAATGATGCTTGACGTATTGTTGAATAAGAACTCATTGTTGATGATGATGAACTTACTGGTGAATTTATTGGTTTTATTGTTGATTTTGATGATATAAAAGCAGATGTTGGACTATGATTAAATGGAACAACAAAACGAAATTTTCCAATACCATCATTTTTTGCTAAATTATCATAACCTTGAGCATAAGGTGTTTCTTCTTCTTCTTCATTTTCTATTTCTTTTTGTTCTTTATTTTGGTAATTATTTGATTGATATGATGATATTGGTTCATTACTTCGAGAATTTCGTATATTTGGTTTTTGATATTGATCAAATGATGTAATTGCACGTTTTGTTGGACGTTCAATTGTTATCGGAATATCATAAACACATTTAGGCATTGACTAAAAGAAAACAAAAGAATTTCAAATTTTTTTTTTTTTATTTTTACTAAATTATCATACATGTTCTTTATAGATAGGACGTATATTATCAGTTGTCATTGATGATTGAATATAATTTGTATTTAAATGAGATGGTAATTGAGATGAGATTGTATCATAGGTTTGTGTACCAATATGATGTTCATTTGAGGTTGATACTGATGTTGATGTTGACGGTGTAGAAAAACCTTTTGTAAATAGATTAGCAAGTTTATTAACATAATCAGTTGGTGTTGTTTGTGTTGATGTACGACGTGGTAATGGATTAGGACGACGACGAGAATTTCGATGATGAGATGATGATGAATCTGATGAACGTAAACAAAAAACTGTATTTTCAGGAGATGATGGTGGATCATATGAAGTATTTGAATGAGATAATTTTGATTTTGAACGATTAGAATATGGAATAGTTTTTGGTGATGAATGAGATTTTGAATAACTAAATCATGTCAATTAATATTGATTAAAAACATAAATATTTTAAAAACTTACTTATTTTTATCTTCATTTTTAGTTTTATCATTTCGTTGTGGTGGTACAAAAACATGATTATTATTTCGATCGATTGATGTTGAAATTAATGCAATATTATCAAATGATTTTGGTCTATCATATGTTTCATTTGTACATGTTATATTTTGTTGAGTAGATGTATTATTTGTATCATTTATTAATCGACGTGTTGGTAAAATAAATGCTCGATCATCAGAATCATTATCATGTAATTTTGATGCATTATGATAAATAGTTGTTTTTACATTTGATATTGAATGGTGATTAGCAGGAATTGATTTTATACTTGATGAAGAATAAATTTCTATAAGCAAAAAAGAAAAAAAATTTTTTTTTTTTAATAAAACTTCCTTTCGTTTCTTTTTGTAACATACCATTTGATTGAGCCATATTAATAGCTGATGATGAAGCATCAACATCAGAATAAATATGTGGTTGAGATGAATTAGATGTTGATTGTCGATGTTTAATTAATGGAGTTGATCGTTCACTTCCACCTGATGTAAAAACATATTGTGAACTACCCATTATTTCAACATATTTAGCTAATGTATTTAATAATCTTCCCATACTATAAATATTATTTCCTCGAATAAATATTGTTTGAACTTGTTCATCAATTAAGGCAAATTGTATATCACGTGTACGTTCTTCTGGAAATGATAATTTACAACGGTTTAAATATAATTCATGTTCAGTTTGTTCACTTAAACGTGATTTATGTATACGAAATATTCCATCAACTATTGTACAATATTTTGTAACAAATGTTATATTATCAAGAGATATAACGAGAAAACCTAATTTAAAAAAAGAAATAAATAAATTTATTGATCTATTAAATTTGTTAAAGATTTTCTTTATTGGAATTCGACTCAAAGTTCTCAGATGCTGTCTTCTGTGAAATAGTATGATTACAATGGTCTTCTCATTTCTTCGAGATGCTATGTTCAAGCAAGTTGAACTTTTTTCTATAGGTACTAGGGTGTGAGTGTGGGATGTTTTTAATTTTTTGTCTTACGAATAAAAGCAATCAAAATATCGAAGGTGTTCTGACACAAAAAGCGTTTTTTCTGAATGGAACTACCACAAATTAGCAGAACAATATTTTTTTGAAATAAAAAATTACCCAACCCAAACAGTGTAGCGGAGGGCGTCGGATTCAAGAGTTCTTGGACCCGGACTCGAACCCAATGGTAATTTTACAAATAAATTACACGTTTTATTGAATAAAACGAACAAAAAATTTAAAGAAATTCAAAAACTAATAATTATACACATCAAAGTTTTCTTTCGATTCGAACTTGATGGATTCTAGTGTATAGTAGATGTGAAAAAAAACTTCAACTTGATTGAACGTACTAAGTCAGCCATTTATACACTTTTTTCATGAAAAAATTTGATTTGAGAAAACGCGAAACAATGTACAGTTTTCACTAATTTGATTTCTTCTCGAATCATTTAACGTTTAAAGACAACATCTGATTGAATAGATAGAGACTGACTTAGACTATTCAATGACCAAATAAAAAAAAGAACAAAGATTTTGAGTCAGGCAAAAGGAGCGGGTATATCATTTAGAAAGAACATACCTCGTAATTCACAATGTTTTCGTGTTTTGTCATCAACACCTGTTACATTAGCCATTTGATCCAGTAAATGTGAAACAATTTGACCTTTCTTACGATTAAATTGCGCGAACATACGACGAGCATTACGTGAGAGTGTTTTCACATTACTTCGACTTTTTGAATTATCTTTTGATTTTTGTGATGATGCTGCATCTCGAAATGCCTTTTAAAGAAATCATATTGAAATTAATATACGTATATATATGAAGAAAAGAATATAATAATAATAATATTACTTTAAGCCATATATTCATTTGATTTGGATCAGATGGTCGAACATAAATTGCTTCGGCAAGACCAATTTGTAGACATAAACATTCAACTTTATCTATAATAGTTGTATGAACTTTAGCATTTGTCATATCAGATACCCATAATGGTGAAGAATCATTATCTGATTGTATGTGATTTGTTGATGAAGATTTTTTATCAGCTGGGAAACAGATTAAATCAAAATCATCAAGAACATAATAACGCCATATCCAATTATGATTTTCATCATATGTTAATAAAAGACCATCAGCTATAATAGAAGATGATGGTGTTGAAATTGATGATCGACTTGGTGCTTTTGATGATAAACTAGCATTAAGTCCTATGTTTTTATTTTCGAAAAAGAAAAACAATAAAAAATCAATGTCATGTCTTTTTTTTATCAGATAAGGATTTATTACCATTTGATGATTGCGTTGGTAATGCTTCTAAATAAGCATTTTTTGGCATATCTATATACCATTGACTATTACCATCACTTGATTTACGTCTTGTAGTATGATATAATTGATTATCACTAACTGATGAACGTCTTGAAGTAGTTGGTGTCGATTGTTGTTGTTGATGTTGTTGTTCTTCAAGATCTTTCTTACGTTGTTCTTCTTCTTCATCAGTAAAATCATCACTTTCATCTTCAGATACAATATCTGTATTAATTCTTTGAAATACAAAGAAAATGTTTTTTTTATTTTTTTTTATATTGTCATTAAAATGTTTATTATTTACAATGATTGATCATCAATAGTAGATATTTGTTGTTGATTTGTTTGTTTAGTTAATTGATCAAGTTTACTAACATACATAGCAGCAATTTCTTGGTGATCACGATCTAAATGTGTACTGTTTAACATTGAACGAAGAAATGATTCAAGACCGGGTAGAAGCTCTAAGATTGTAAATGATTTTTTGATTTACGCACTTCAAAATGACATCTTTTCTAATCTTACCATTAACATTAGTAGACGTTGTGGAGGCCATTTTAGTTGACGATATGAATAATTCGAACGGAGAAGATAATTGTCGATCACGCATTACAATAATTCACATCCTTCGCAGTCCACGTCGATAGGGAGCCCTTCAGCTGTCTATAAACAACAACAAAATAACACTGCTGAATCAATGACACAAGCATATAAGAAAATACTACTCTTTCTTTCTTTTTGTAATGTTTGATTACTTGTCAATTCAATTCTGAGACCTCCTTTATGCTCGTATAAATGTATAGGGGACGTTTATGAGCTAGCAATATTGACCTTCATTTTAACGCAACCCTTTCGAACATATACTCTAAGTGTACAGTTCTTTTTTCTTTTTCTCTCCTCCATTTTTCTTCTTTCATGCCGGTAAAGGTAAAGAGAAGACAAGAGAGTGAGAAAGAAAGGAAGAAAGGTTAACATCTACCTCGACCACCTACTCGACCGCCCGTTATGCGTTCAGATAAACTTTAAAGAACGAGAAAAAGAGAAGAGAAGAAAAGAAAAGAAACAAACAACTCCTACTATCACTACAACTTTTGTTTAATCACAAAACACAGACATACACATCTTTAAGAGAAAATTGTCTGAAATCCGATATGACTATGCACGCGCAATTCTTCTTCTCAATCGTTATTATTATTCTTTCTAATTGTGTCTGTGATTTTTTTTTTCCCGTTTCTTTTATCAACATCAATATTTATTTATTTTCGATCACCTATAGACAGCAATAGTAGACATAAGTCAATTTTATAAGAAACAATCTGTACATATATGTATTTATTTGTAATATAATCTCTGTTCAAGCAAGATCAAAGCAGACTTAACTACAACAATACTATTCTTTTCTATGTTTTTTTTTTTTAGTTTTCTTTTTCTTTTTTTTTTTCGTCCTTAGGGAATAGTCCCACCTATTTTATTGATCTACGAAAGAGAATGTAAAGAGACATACATTCACATAAAATCTACTTCAAGTATCGATTAGAGACAACAATTTTTTTGTATGTTTGACATACAAAGTATGTAGAGAAAAACGTTTGTCTATCTTATGTTCACATATAATAATGACTTTGTTCATGTCGTACCTATGATGACCTTTGCTTGTCTAATCGGACATAAACAAATCTCTGTATGTCGACTATGTTACAACCCATGCATAAATACTCAACGCAAATTGTCATCACTGTATTATAGTACTACTTTCTATTCTATAAAGATGATGTAATAAATAACACACACACACACATTCAATCAATATCAATCTTCCAAATAAACATGTTGTGACATATAAGAGATATTTATCTAAAAAAGTGTTCAAATTATTATTAATTAAAAAAAAAAATTATTCTTTTCTTTTTTCTCTTTTTTTTTAATCTTGTTTCATTTTACTGCGAAAGACAATAAAATCTAGAAAAAAAAAAAGCCATTCATGATTTAAAAATAAAAAGATGCCAACATGCAAACAAACTTAAGTCTTTTATTTTTATTTTTTTTTGCTTTAAAATGTAAATCGCATACTCTCAGTATAACCTAATTTATCTAAATTTGGTATGCATGCAAATTTAATCATTGGTGGTGGGCCACAAATGCATATTAAAACATCATCACCGGCCGGTGGCATATGTTCACGCAACATATCTTCATTAATAAAACCTTTTGAATATTTCCATTCTTCACTTTCACGATCAACTGTATACCATATTTTAAAACGATCAGAATTTGATGCAGCCAATAGTTCTAATTCATCACGTAATAGAATGTCTTGTTCCGTTTGATTAGCAAATAGAAGCCATATTTTTATATCAACACGACCACCAGGTACAATAGATGTTTGTTCTTTTAATATTTCATTCAATATTTGATACATTGGTGTTATACCTGTACCTCCAGCTATTAAACCAAGTCGATGAATACGTCGCGTAACAAATGGATCAGGTTTACGTGGACGTATATTAAATAAACCATTATCTTTATAAACAAGATTACCTGATGGACCACTAACTTCAATTTTTTGACCGATAGAAAATTTATCAAGATATTGAGTCATTTTACCATGAGGATAAATTTTAATCACAAGATCAAAATAACCTTGATTATCATCGGATGTTGTTGGCGTATATGGACGTTTAACAAGTTCACCATTGATGTGTGCTGTAAGATAAATATGTTGACCTATAGGTAAACCCAGGACATGTTTTGCTGATGGAAGTTGAAAACGAAAAAGACGTGTATCATGAGAAATATTTTCTTTATGAGCCAATGAAAATGTATATTTGATATCAGGGTTTTTCAATGTAATAATCACATTTTTGTGTTTACTCTCTTTCGTATTGCCGGCTGAACTTTTATTTTTTAGTATATAAAATAAAGTAAGACAAACAATACTGACACCGCCGATTATTGTAAGAGTTAATGTATCAAACGTCATTCTTATCTGAAAGAAAAAAAATAAAATAAATCATTCGTTCATATATTTGAAGAACGTTACAATAAAAACGTAGTAACAACTGAATGGTTATAATTAAAATTTGTCAACGAATTCAAAAATATATAATGTAAAGATAAGAACCTTTATAAAATAAAAGAGCTGAGAATATAGGTTAAGGTTATATACTCTGTTCGTATTATTACTTATGACGAAAAACAAAAAAAAAAACATTTTTAAATTTTATTTCATTGGTTGATGAATCATTCAATGTAAAAATTCTATCTACTTTACCAATAATGTATTGCAACAGTGGACCAATACAAAGTTAAAACGATAGGGGCCTTACTAAATCGGTTTCCTTTCGTTACTTGTGTTACATAGAAAATCTAATGATTTCATTGCTTTCCAAGATGTTCAATCTGAGAAAAACAATGCTCCTAGTTGAAAAAAATAAAAATTATTGTCAGAAAAATAATGAAACTTAATATACATGTGAAAAGAACACTCTAATGGCTTAATGATATGTACTCTTCTTAGTCTTGAAGAAAAAGAAAGAAACCACTTAAGATTGATGTGTCTAAAATCATACATCTACAAACATCGTGTTATACTATACGCTACTTCTTTTTTATTCATCAAGTATATGAATATGAGTAGTGACATGAAAAGAAAGAGAAGATTTCACTAACAACAAACGTATTTAAATGAAAATGAAAAAGAAAAAAGTAATGTGATAAACATCGATCTTTAAGTGATTTTTTTCAAAGTTCAAATTCAAACTTCTGTTAAGATTTTTAGTAAGATGATTCTCGAAGGATTTTCGATGTTCTAGGATTTCCTTTCTTTTTTTTTTAAATCATGCTGAGTCTTTCAACGATAATAAATCACATTGTTTTTTAATAATACAGTGCATACAAAAAATACTACCCGATAGACTAAAGAATATTTATAAAATAAAATTATTTCATCAACGATCTGGAAGCCTGCAGAGTTTAATAGATGTGTTTGAACGGTTAGACTCTATGATTGTTATAGTAATTCATGTAAACATAAGTTGCGTCACGACTGAAAGTAATATCTGTAAACCCGTTTAACATCATTGCATTAGTGACACTCAAATGACGTAATAATACCTTCTATATTCACACTATTTATTGCTTCAGGACTTCAACACTTGTATAGCAATTAGGAATAAGATTGCTCGATTGGCACAGAATACATACAATACTTTCCTTATTAGTAAGTGATAATATGAAATGAAGTCTATACACTGTTGCTGACATGGCTAGCAATGTCAATTACTTGCGTTTTTATTGAATCATACACACGATGTGGGTTAAATTTTATTGATAACTTTCTAGTCTTAGTCCATTCCTGTCAGCAACGCACATAATATTTTTCATGACACAGAAATAGTCTCACTTAACAAGGTATTCTTAAAAATCAGCACCGTTTTAATATGCATTGAATATGTTATGTTAGAGATCATATTGTTGATCGAATTATTGATTACTAACTACTACCTGTATCAATATCTCTTTGTGAGTCCACAGTCAATTCGGATACAAGATTTAAAATACTTGCTAATTTTCACAACTATCAGTGCATGTCACTCGGTTGCTTGTCAAAGAGGATTTGAGCCATAGTATCACAAAGTAGTCAAAACTACTCACTGCGTACATAATTAATGCCGTGCCAACATACAATTCTTTTGATTCACTCCACTAAATATCATCAATATTTTCAATTTCCGCATAAACAACCATCAAACGTATTAGAAATCTTTTTTTGAGGCTTGATATTTGTAACATTGAAGTAATTCCTAACATAAAATGAATGATCATAATTCAAGGTTAGTTGAAATAAATTTGAGAGAATGTTAGAAAATTTTTTTGCAACATCATTTCTATAGTCATCGATCGTAACATTATTTTGTAGCGAAATGATCGCAAAGAAAAAAAAACAAAGTTACGATAGCAGTGATTGATAACAATTGTAAAGTGAAAACACATCAACCATATTATATTATAATAAACACGTATGACTATCTTCTATTTGTTTTTGTTTTTGTACAGTATCAAGTCAATCGTTTCTTCTGATTTGTTTGATAAAAGATGCGTCTTGAAATATTCAACTAAATATAATACTCATGTTAATTCATGAAATTTTTATAATGTTGCAACAGTTTATAGAACTGTTCTGAAAAAACAAGCCTAATTTTTTGAAATTATTCTAATCTGATATTTTTCTATTGCCCTGACATCTTCAGTCAATAACTGTAGTCAAATGCTATGTTCTATTCATTCTCAATAGCATCAATAAAATTATTTTACCGACGAACTGCCTTTAAACATAGATAGTACAGTCAGGAAGAGTCGGATAACAACAATTTGAAGTTCAGTTTCGAATGTCAATTGAAGTTCCGTATTGTTGATGAGTTTATTGAACTTGTATTGAATGACGAGTCCTGGCTATTGAAGCACTTGTCAAAAAACTCACTTTGATTAGTTCACTTCAAATAAGCAATATGATCTCGTTTTATTTCTGTGAGAATTAATAGAAAAATGATTAAAATC